AAAAAAAAAAAAAAAAGAAAGAAAGAAAGAAAGAGAAGATGAATATGCCTCGCGCCGGATGAGAGACCGCGCGAATCTCGTTATTCATTATTGCCATTGATGGAATTGATGTCGGCGCACAGCCAGTGCACTAAGGGAAACTGTACTAACCATTGTGAAAATCGCCTATTTCATCTTGTATTAAACGTTCAATGCTGAAAGGCTGAGCAGAAGAATAGGAAAAGCTACACGAAATCATCCTGACACGGTAGTGGCGTGCTGGTATCGACGACAAACGATCCCGGGCCCTTAACGAGTTTCCCTAGCAGCATTAATAAATCTTCAACGCAAACTGCCAATGAATCTTTTGATAATTTTTATTCGAGTATAATTCTCTAGATTTACATCAACGAAACGGTCTAAATCAGATGGCACTCGATTGAAATTTTATTTCATTCTCCATCGTTTCGAGGAAACGTGTTACTGCCACGGAAATAAGTCGCTATCTTTTTCTCTTCGTTTTCTTTTTCGAAATCGACCGACGCGAGTGCTGCTGCGCTATTTAGGGAAGACAGGTGACACCAAGTCGATAATCAGATCAACTGATGAATTTTTTAACAGATGTTGCGCCTTTGGTTCGTCAAATCGACACTCGTACGATCCTTTTTCTCAAACTCGGCACAGAATATCAAGTCGCGTGGTGCCGGCCAGATGGTGTCTGCAAGATAATCATCGCCATTTTGAATGTTTCATGATCTCGCGTGAAACTACACTTCTAATGCAGAATGCGAAACATATTGTGGTCCTTGTGTATGCAAATTGTATAAATGGAAGATCGTTGAAAAAGTAGCTCCCTCGAAATGACTGAGTAATATATCGTTCAGTTAGAAATTTAGTCTTTCTTTCAGTTGTCAATTCGTTATGCTGTCTGTTGTTTATTCGTTATTGAGCCGAAATATAGTGAAAAATACTCGCGTTGTAAAATACGGTTCTCTTGTTGATTTGCGCTTAACTGTGTGTTGTACAGGATGGGAAGTAATTCGATCGGTAGCAAAATCCAAAAAAAAAAGAAGTGATATCTCGAACAAAGATTGATTAAAAACGTTGAATTTGGGGAAAATCCACCGTAAAAAAATTCAAGTATATGTGTATCTAATGACTCGATTCAAGTCCACGTATACTTGGCAAATTTTTCGAATATTTAAAAAATCTTAGATTTAGCGTAAAAATTGTTTATTTCAGAAACTCTATACGGAATATCATCTACTCTTCTACACCACGAATCATATCCCATTCTCTTGCACGGATAAGGAATATATTTATGCTCTAAGAGATATTATATTACACGTTGAATGTTACTTTATACCTGTTGAAACGGTATAATCCGTTTGAAGTAAAGAAATTTGCGTATCATTTATTAATTAATATATGAAAGTTTGATTGCGTTGAAATGTATATTAACATTCGCGTGGCGACCACAAAATATCCAATAATACCGACCAGCGTTTACACACCAATTTGCTTCATTACTATGTATCTTACAGTAGCCAGGGATAAGAGCCAAAGAAATCTTTTTAGACTAATAAGAAATACATGGAAGCACCGTTTCAGCTGTATACCGCCTGTATTATACATCTTTAACAATCGAGTCTGACCAGCTGCTTTTGCGAAAGGAAACCAAAAGAAAAAAAAAAAAAAGAATGAAGCCATTTGAATGAAGTTTGTATATGTAATTAGTTTAGCGATATCTGACACAAATTTCATGTACCCCATAAAAAGAGACGTTTTTTTGATATTGTAAATACTCTGAAATAAATAATCGTTTTTATTCAACCACCGCTTCTTTTTTTTTTAATAAAAAGAACTTCATTAAAAACTGTACTAAAAATTTTACACATAAATTATTAACAAGGAAATACAGAAATTATAAATACAAAAGTAACATTATTACCTGAATACAGGTTGATTAGCGGAACCGAGGCGTACATGTCCAAATATTTTTCAACGGTTAAAAGCACAGGGCTTTTTGCATTCAGTAAATACTCTAACAACGTGCTCTCAGGATAAAGTCGCGTAAGCTTGTCACCCAACGATCTTATAACTTCTTGCATCGGAACGAACTTTTTCAAAAAAAAAAATTTTCTATTAACTTTAAAACCGACCAATTGAACCTAAACATCTGTGAAATTCCAAAAAACACTTACATGATCGCGATCCGTATTCGAGATATGATGACACAACGTATATATCTTATTGAAGCAAATTGACATATGCTGCTGAATATCACTCAATTCATACGACTTTAATGGCTGTAGCAAAGTGGGTGGTACTGTGTATGCGTGGTACCATCTCGTAAAGAATCTCTGTAAATTCCAATGGAAAAATGTTGCTTCTGTTGTTTTTTTAATATAAAAATCTCACCTGATGAACATGATGATAAGTTGGAAGAAAAATTGCTTTCCCTATTTTCCAATCCTCGCTCTCGTTACTGTACAACAATTTGAAATGCCTATAAATTATATCCTCTGGTGCCTATATTAACAAAACATTCATTTTTATTCTATTAGAATTAAAATCAGTAGTCAAATTCAAAGTTTATAATTTATGAATTGTAAATCCATTCACACACCTCTAATACATGAATATAATAACCCGGATAAACCAAGAATAATCCACTGATGCAATTATTCGCATAATCTGCTTGTAAGTCTTCTACCATAGATTCCATTTTCTGGAAATTATGTTTTTCAAACGAGTAATAGGAAAATCTTTGGCCTTTATGAATTACTTTAATTTATACTAACTCTATTAATTCCATACCTTTTCTATACTCGAATTTGTACCGGTATATTCTCCGATATATACCACGCGTGTTATATACGAAACCTGCAAATAAATACATCATTTTTATATTGTTTCAATACATGTAGATTCAAAAATTTGAATTATCGTTTCATCATAACACGGAGTAGATGGCGCTTCGATATAAATTGGCATTTGCAAGCAAAGTAACGAGAATATTCAATTTATTCGCACTTTGATAAAAATGCATAAAATGGTATTATTCTGATATCTTACGTGAATAAATTAGATAAACAGTAATTAAATTAAACTAGATCCTCACCTTACCGGCAGCACGAATATTTTTCCTGATTACGTCCAACAGGCTCTTTCGAACAGGTTCAGTTACGCGCTTCATCGAGTATATAATGTTTTAGCTGAATTGTTTACGCTGTTTTATATACCGTGGAAAAAATCAAATAACTTTATGAATATTTGGAATGTTAGCAACAAAACTACTTTTAACTGATAAAATTTTTGCGCGTATAATAATCTCATGACACAAGCTTCCAAATACTTCGAAGTTAACGGACGGATGCTCGTAACTACTACATTCATCGTTTAACTACAATTAAATAGCTATTTTTCCAAAAGTATTATTTCATTAAGAAACGTAGTCTAACTTAAATAACAAATAAATTAAATAACGAATTTCTAGATGAACGATTAATATATATAATGCGCAAATGTGTAAAAATTTTTTAAGCGTTAGCTTCTGATTTGATCAACGTTGTCGTTCCACTTTATAAATGCAATTTTACTTAAATTCATGCATTCATTATACTTCACGTAACATTTTGAAAAAAATTGAATGGTGCAAACTCTCTTCTTTCTGTTGGGTATATTTTATTTTATTTAAATACAAATATGTTACGTAATGATGAAGAGTAATGTACGTAAAATTACAATTCGCTAAAATCAGTCAAAATAGTAAGTATGTATATGCATATAAGTTTGCATATAAGTTTCATGTACTTAAATGTACAAAACACTAAACGGCGTTAACAGTGATACTTACGCATAATTAACTATTGCTGTTTATTATCACATCATTATAATGACGATAAATATATGTCTGGAAATGTTTTATTTTTACAAATACTTTTTCAAATAAAAATATTACTCTCAAGTGCATAAAACAGTGTATCCTTTTAATTAAACAATTCATCAAACGCAAGTCGTTTGTCTCTGTATTTTTTTAATATTACTGAAAATTAAATAACTGTTACTTTTTAGCCTTTGGATACTCTAAAATTGGAGGTGGAGGTGGGGTTGATTCACTGGGATTTCCCAACCATACAGATTTACTAAAACGACCTTTAATAACAGGTGCCTGCCATTTATTGCTGCACATAACTGTAACTGTAGGCTTCTCTGCAGTGACAGTTGCTATTGTTACCGCTCTGAAAGCGAAATAAAATTTATTTAAATATACATGTATTTACTATAAATATACAGTAGAAATGTCTTACAAAAGGAACATAAATCTTAACTAAAATAACAGTGCAAAACTTACTGCAAGATGATCTATCACTATCAAAAAAAGTAAAGGAATTTTTATCGACAGTCATTTTCCTTTGTTGAATTATTTGATCCAAGGTAGGTAAAAATAAAAAGGTGTATTGTACTATACATTTAGCATTTATTAATGAAAAAATGCATTACAAATTGGATGAAATATATGCTTTTTGTAAAATATTTTTCAAAGTGTATATTCGTACGTACATATATATAGTGATTTGATATCTACAATTTTAACGCTGAGCAAAAATATGTATGTGATTTATGCAATTAATACACTTAAATTTTATCATTTAATGAATTTTGTTATATTACAGATATAAAATATTCTCAATTAATAATCTCATCAACAATATATTCCTTACTAATTTCAAATAGCAAGGTACCGCTTTTTTGAAGTAGCAATTTTTTTAAAACAGATATGAATAGATAATAAATTTATTGTAAACGTTTTTGGTAAAACATACACTTTATACTTATCTTATTTAACAAAAAGATACAAATTATTAAATCAATGGGATAGTGCAGTACTACTAAATTATAATTAATACAAATCGATCTGACTACTAAAAATAAAAGATTTAATGCCTTCATCATATATAAATATAAATTTAATATTTTTCACGCAAGATGAGCACACCGTATGAAATAATAAACAATATGAAACGACCAAGTATGTTAAAAAATAAATCATTTTCTCTAATGCCAAGGCACTTGGTTTGGATGACTGATGGAACCCAATTTGTAGTACCTTGTTGTAGAAGATGTTTGTTGCATCCCTGTTGAATGATTAGGTGGTGTTGCCGCCGTAGAAGTTTCAGCACTTTGAGCAGAGGTACCATCACCTTTCAAAACAGCAACACATTTCCAATTATTAATATAATTATCTTTCCATAATCGAACGCAACCATCATCTCCCGAACTTGCTAGAATAGTTCCCATAATATTCCAACACACTCGCCATACAGTAGAGTCATGGTCGGAAAATTGTGCTGCTATATTGATTTCAAAACGTGATGAACCACTTTGTACATTATCCCTATATTAAGAATATTTTCATGTAGTTTCTCATAAACTTAATGTTTATACGAATTTTAGAATCTATACTTACAACACAGGTTTTAATGTGATTACTTGCACATCTTTTGATGCAATAGCTAATGTGTGAAAACTTCTACCTAAATTTGGAGCAAATGCTATATCGTGAATGGGATCGGCAATATTTAATGTTTGTGTTTTTGTCCACCTTCTACTACTCTCAGAATATTCATATATGAAAACTTTTCCATCTGATGATGGGTTTGAATCATCACTTCCAACTGCTATCATTGGAGGATGTAACCTAGTGTAAAATAATTGATAAAACATCCACTGTCTATATTTATAACAAATATTAATATTCAATAGTAATTTATTATACCTTGAAAGAGATGGATTCCATGAAAGACAGCTACATTGAAGTTTACAACTAATGTCATGCTGTAGAGTCCACTGACTTAGATTCATAACATCAGGTGCTTCATATATCCTAATCACTCCATCTTCGCTACAAGTAGCTAACAAAAGACCTAAAGTTTTAGGTGCAAATTTCACATCTGTAACAGACTTTCTGGAATCTACCAAGTTTGTTCTTCTAACCCAGTGTCTCATGCCACGTTCTCCTGGTCCTGATCCTTCTCCAACTAGATAAAATTAATAATATGATTATTTATTAATTAATTAATCATAAAAATATATATATATAATAGCTTTACCTATTTCTTCCCACACAGCTGCTGTTCTATCAGAAGAGCATGTTGCTAAAACTTGACCAAACTCTGGATGTGCCCATGTTACTTTCCACACAGGCCCACTATGTGCTTTCCAAGATGCAGATAAATGCCAATTTCCATGTTCATCTTCATCCCAGACCTAAATTTCACAATCATCACATGCGATTATAATAACGATTATTTACAGCACAAACAAGTACGAAAAGCTTACTTTCACGTAGTGATCACTGGAACATGTTGCCATTCGTTGTCCATAAAAATCATAAGCAATATCATGAATTAAATCTTTATGTTCGGCATTAATACTGTGTGCTTCGAACATCTTTCATACGTTTCAATATTACAAATTAAAATACACTTCGATAAGTATTTATGCTTATGTCGATACCCGTAGAGGTTAGGAGGTAAAATTGAAAAACTTTTCTATAAAAAGAGCTGCATGTCAAAATATCAAAGAAAAAAATTTTTACAATTTAATATGTAAATGAAACATCACAAATTCAATTTATTTATATTTTTACAATATTTATTTTGTCTGTTCGTATTATTGAAGAAGAAAACACCGTAAAATACAACTATTACTAGCATTCTTTATAATTATTACATAAGTAAAAAATGTATTTAAAATTTTTTAATAAAATCAATAATAATAATAAATTATGAAAAACTTTTTCCGTTTTTTAAACTTTATTATTTGAATACATTTCAATGAACCGGTGCATAAAAGCACATTGTCACTAGTTATAGTTTTTTCATGTATTTCCTCTTGATGTATTTAGGAATACTTAAAAATTAAGTAAATATATTTATTATGCTAATAAAATATAATAATATATCACAGTAGTATAAATATATTTTATTCTATAGACTAGAATTATCTTACACACACACATTATTAATTATATTTAACTTCCATTAGTAATAATATTAATTTAGAAAATATATAGAATAAAATATAGACTATATTTTTTTGTAAATGTAACTTAGAATGTTATCTCATAATGTTCTATTATTTCACATTTTTATTTCATAAACTTCGACAAATAAGAAACTTCCGGAAGTTTCTATAAACAGGTAGAGATTCATGATGGATTGTCATTGAATTGCAGCGTGTAACGTGTCAGAACACGTATGTTATTTAAACTGAACTGTATATTATAAAATAATTCTTCAAGGTAATTGTGTTCTTTCTAATTAATTTAGTTCTTAAGTATTTTTTTTCTATTTAATTTTAAATATTTTCTTCGTTAAATCGAAGATATAAACCGGTAAAAGTTAATTTCGTAACATTTCAGATGATCACAGATGTACAGTTAGCTGTATTCTGCAACATCCTTGGAGCAACATTATTTTGCTTAGTATTTCTTTTTCACTACGTATATTCAAATTATTCGAAATAAAGAAGTAACATGTTCGTAAACATAACCTTAATTCGCTTCATTGAACGCTGACATATGAGTAAATGGAGTTGTACATCTATGTATTGTATTTGATACTGATAAATATGGTTACTTAAAGTAAATAATTTTAAAATAATTGAAATATATTCTTTATAGAATAACAAGTCTTTATTTTCTTTATTCCCTACATGAATGGTATAACATTAATCAATATATAATCATTACAATATATGTAATAAAACCAACAACTATGTACGATATATTTCATTTTTATGTGAAATATAAAAATGTCAAGTAAAGTTTCTCGCTCATACGTAGTAAATACGTACATAATATGAAAACGTAGATTAGTTCCTATGTTCAGTGTCTTTCAAGACGATGAAGTTGGTCACTTGCAGCGCATAATTGTATATACATAGTCAATGTATGCATTATATCTTTTGCATACATAACTGCATATAGAAAATTCACAATATAGTTTTGGACATTTAACGTGTAAATTTGAAACAGTTTTTCAGCAATGACCGACGATTCCAATGGAGAATCCACGTTCGAATTTGTTGAAAGAAAGACAGATGAATCGTCTACATCTGGAGAAATCGTAAAAACGGGTAAGAATAAAAGGCAAAACATAAACACCTGCGTATCTGTCAAATTCCTTCACACAAGTAAAAAAATTTATGTTCAGTCTAATAACTGCCGCAGTTTTTTGTAAAACTCAAAAAATTTTACAAATAAATTGTAACAAATTTATTTTTTAATGATATAGAAAACAAAAACATTATAATACGAAATGAACTATGCACCTTATGGTATAAAATGTTTTATATAGTTTAAAAAGAAAATAAATTTACTTAACAAGAAAAAAAAAAGTTACCTACTTGAAGATCTTTTTATTTATTCGAATAAATTAATATATCGGGATAATGTATCACCTACATGAATAAAAATAATGTAATTTTCAGATTCTTTTAGCAGTTTGTCTTCATCAACATCTTTATTAATGCCATTAGGCATATCAACATCTACAGGAAATTTATTATCAAATGTAGCACCACCCACTGCTTTGCCTAGTTTTATTTCAAATCCTGGAACACTGTTATCAGAAAGGCCTAATAATTTGGAACCACCTAGCCAGAAAAAACTTCATGAACATGAACCTACTAAATCGATGTTAAATACTATTATTCAATCTAAACCATTACAGCAAGAAACACATCAAGTAATTACAACTCCCATTGTTACTCCGTCCATACAAAATGTACAAACCACAGTGCCATCAGAAGTCCAGGATTTAGGAATGGTTGGGGGTGGTCTGTTATCATGGGTTAAAGAAACGGTAGTAAATAGTAATGTATTGAGCAAAGTTGCAGAAAAAGCAAAAAACAGTGTTAATACTATGATCACAACATTAGATCCTCAGATGCGTGAGTTCATTTGTAAGTAAGAAAGCTACTAATCCTGACATGCAAGTAAACGTAATTTAATCCTTTTCTATTTTGTAAGTTTCTTAATCATTTCTCTTTCCTTGCTTGATATTCTATTTTGTCAATTTCCTATTGAAATGTATGTCATTGTATGTGTTAAATTATGTTATTGCATCATATCTGAGGTATATATATATATATATATATATATATACACACCTATATATGTGTGTTATTTTTGGATGATCTGAAAACTAAATTTCATTCAATGAAGTATGTTGTACAGTTTAACTGTCATTTACAAAAAAATTTTCTATTTACGTTTTATTTATTAAATAACCAAAATTATAAAATTCATTTATGTGTAATAATTATTTAAATTGCACGTAAACAAAGTAATTTCATAATTTGTATTATAAATAAGATGATAATTAAGATTGTATTTTAAGTAACCTGATAAGTAAAATTTTCATTAATATTTGCCTGTGTTTAGTGATGTAAGAAAGTTAAAATTTGTAAAATATTATCCCACTGTGTTCTAACAAAATGGCAATAAAAAATTGAGGAACAATTTATAGATTCCATACTATTTATATGTAAATAGCAGGATTGTGACTGTGCAACATGTTAGTTCACTTACAAACATATATGCAGGCTCTGTGGAAATTATACTTTTCAGATTCTGGTGGTGATATGGAGATTGTAGTTGCATCAGATAAAGATATTAAAATAAGTCCTGTGCGTCAGGCTTTTCAAACAGTTTTTGGAAAGGCAACAGTAACGTGAGTAATGATTATAAATTATATTTATTTATTTCTTTATATATTTATAATGCTATATCTTCATTAAAATAATTAATTATGTTGTAGTGGTGTATCAGTAGAAAGTTCAGCTGTAGCTGCTCAACCAGTTGGTTTTGCTGCTGGCGTAAAAGGAGCAGAAGAAAGAATTAATTCTGCTCGAAATATTCCGACACTTCCAAAAGATATACCTATAATTGCAGTAGAAAATTTTTTGTTAGAAGTTGGAGAAGATAAATGGTATGATTTGGGAGTGATAGTTCTTAATGATCCGAAACGTAATGTAAATTTGCAAACATTTACTCAAATGACTCCGGTGCCAAGTCAAATAGTAACAATGGCACAAGAAGCCACACCTGAAGATTATCCTCTTAAATGGTCTGGTTTATCAATTACTGTTGGTAGTTTAATGGCAAGCAACTTGCAGGTTAGTTTTCAACAAAGTAATTTTATATTCGCAATTATAACAAAATCTATATCGTAGGTTCCTCACAATGAATGGCATCACGCACTTACTGGAGTTTCCAGAAGGGATATTATACTGTTAGCAGTTCAATCGCTAGCTGGTATCTACAAGAACACAATTAATCCCGTCTAAATTTTTATGAATACATCGACGCAATTTATCAACAAATTGCGTTTTTGTAAATACAGCTCTAATAATTTATGCTATACTTGAATCAATTATCAAAATTTATTTCTTAGTCGCATCTTTAACAAGTACCTAACATTTCATCACATTATTGGAATGAATTATTTGATTATTTCAATTAATGTGACATTCTTATTAAATTAGTATTTATAAATTAAGAAAATGTATTTTAATTATATGTGGTAATATGTACAAAAAATTAATGAAAGGTAAAATATATTAAAAAAATAGGTTTGGTATGTTGAATGTGATTATTTCATCACATATTAATTATTAATATTAGACTTATTAACGCGACAGTATATTTTATTAAAATAAAATAATTTATAATTTATATACAATTTGACGTAATTTTCTGACGTGCCCTATTCCTGTCAGATTTCAAGATGGTTGGGTATTTTTTAACAAAGGCAACAAAAACTTTGTTTCACAATTTGATCTTTAATTTCTTGCTTTTTGTTTCAATGAGTACATTGCTGTTGCAGATTTTCTGTTATCAATAATTTCAAAATTTGTCCAATTGTTCAAAAATATTAACACAAAAATTAAAACTAAATGTTAAAAAAGCAATGTAAAAAATTACTTTTTCTTTTTTTCGCACGAAATTGGTAATAAGTTTCCACCGTAATAAAAATAACAATCGATTCTTATTTGATGTTAATACACTAAAAACATAAAGCCACTAGATCTTGATGATGTGGCACTGCTTAATTAAATAAATGTATAAAATATTTCTCCCTGATACTAATATGTGTACTTTCCATTATAATTACAATTTATTTTTTTTCATATTTATAATCATGTATTATTCTCACGGATCTTTGCACAAAACAAAGTTCATAATAAACCGATGTAGATTGTATACGGTTCGAGCAATATTAATTGAATTACAATATTTAAATAGATATTTAAATATGGTGCGCGAATCTAAGGTTACAATTTGTCAAGGTATGCATTCAAATCTGGGAGACCCTCCTTCAATCCTTTTCTTTTACGTGTTTCCTGTAAGAAAACATTATAGTTAGTAGCTATAATGTATTACGCCTGAGGAAAGGAAAATATAAATTTGTATGTTTCCCTATTCAGGTAAACCAGAATATATTACCAGGATACCAAAACTAAAAACAATTGCTTTACCACGAGATTAAAAATGATAATGTATTGACATCTATTCATTACCATCAGTTATGATCGTGGATAATTATAAATTTCAAGACAAAGAAATTACCTGCACAACTTGATAAGGTCTAGAGTTAGGTTCCATTGGATCACCTGGCAAGATCTGCCAATGATCGAATACACATTGTGGGAAAGCTTGTCCTCCGGTGTTGGAACGCAAGTCGGCAGTAAAACCAAAAGACTCATTGACTGGAAGATATGCTTTAACTACGAACATAGGTGTACCAGCAATTTGTTGTTCTTCAAACACGTGACCTCTTCTTCGGTTAAGCACACCATAGATACCACCAACGGCTATTTCAGGGCACTAAAACAATTTTATTTCATTAGAATGCAAAAAAATTAACGCGTTAGTTTAAATTCATTAACAAATTATAAAATTAAATTTACCTGAATTTCACATAAATAAACTGGTTCCATAAGTCGAGGAGAGGCAGTGAGGAGACAAGCATAAAGGCAACGTCTTGTAGTTGGTATTATTTGACCACCACCTCTATGAATAGCATCAGCGTGTAACGTTACATCGTGAATATTGAAGCGTACACCTCTCAAATTTTCTTCCGAAAGAACACCCTGTCAAAAAATTATGAATAGAAAGAATATTCTCAAATATTCTTTTTCGATAATCTGTGATATCATACCTCTTTCGTGGCCCATTGGAACCCAGCTACAACAGAATCCTTAATTTCGTTAAGATATTGTACTCCTTTCGTACAATCTACAAGAATATTGGGTCCAGTTCCATCAGGACCAAAACACCAAATCTTTCTAGCCTCTGTCACATCATAATCATACTTCTCGTTCAAATAACGAGCACGCACTTTGAAGTCATCCCTTGGATTAACTTCACCCTAGAAAATTATAAAAATTAAATAAAAACAAAATACAAATATTAGTTGTAAATTAAATATTACAAACATTAGTCTACAAAATTGAAACATACACTATCAATATCTTCAGCAAGACCGTCAGGCATTGGACACGCCATCATGAATAAACGATTATGTTTATTAGGTGATTTCGAAAGACACATTTGATTCGATTGTTCCGAAATTGTTTCTCTATAAGAAACAACGGGATCCGATTTCTTAATAGGTATACAAGCATGATCTTCTTCCAAATCCTTTAAACAAATTTCAAGATGGAGCTCTCCAGCACCAGCAATAATGTGCTCTCCTGACTCTTCAATAATACACTGTACCATAGGATCTGATTTCGCCAAACGTTTAAGACCTGAATGCGAATTATTTTGTTAAAAGATATTAACACTTTTATAAAATAAAATTTAAATAACAACCACTTTCAGATTTTTAATTAAAATCATGGTTTATCATAACCCAATGCTCAAAATAGTTTCATCCTTATTCAGATACAAAATTATAGTAAATCATATATAAGTAAATATACCTTCAACTAATTTGGGTAAATCGGCTGGATTTTTTGGCTCAACTGCGACGCGAACGACAGGTGACACCGAAAATTTCATAACTTTCATGTTATGTGCATCCTTAAACGTAGTAATGGTACCAGTCTTTACTAAGAATTGATCAACGCCAACAAGTCCACAAATATTACCTATTTTAAATAATAAAATAATTTGTTATAATTATATTCACACAAAACAATATTTTAATATTATCAATTTAAGCGTCAGTTGGCCGTTCTATTGTCATTCAGAAAATAGTCAGAACAGGTCTGTAAGAACAGTCATCATTGTTATTTAACACATTAAACGCTATGTCGGTCACTGGTAACTGATGGTCACAAAATAAATGATATCCCGATATTAAAAATAAAAATTTTAAGGTTTTAAAGAATAAAAATATAGCGTTCAACATATTAAAAAGATTTGAAACCAAATAAAGAATTCACTAACCAGAAGGCACATCTTCAATCGCTTCGACATAACGACCCATCATCAAAATTGTACGCTGGATAGCTTTCTCGTAAAGATCTTCTTTTTTACCCGGTTGGAAATTAGGTCCCATAATACGTGCTTTCATTCCAGTGCTTACTTTTCCGGAGAATACACGACCAAAAGCATAGAAACGACCTTTATCGGAAGTTGGTACCATCTTCGAAACATACATCATAAGTGGACCATTCGGATCACAGTTCTGTAAAACAGAATTTCAAGTATGAAATCAACAAGTTCAATTTGAAATTAAGTTAGAAATTGAATGATGCGAATAGTAATCAGTTATTATTCATATCTACCATAAATAAGTCAGAACAGGTCTGTGGAAAATCTCATCATATAATAAACTTAATTAATAGCTTATCTTAAAATTATTTTAAGTATATATACCTTGATTCCAATTGCAGCCTCATCATCAAGAGGCCCTTCATATAACATTTCCATACGATATTTCTGAGCAGTAACAGGGGATGGTAAATGAATAGCAATCATCTGAAGCAAAGCTTCTCCGGCTGGTAACCACGTTCTCATGACAACCTAAAACGTAATATCATACTGATATATAATCATATATAGTATTAATTATTTAATTATTTAAAACTAAAATACTATCAGATATGAAAGCTTATTATCGGTCAAAGAAATTCTGAAGAGATGTCAGAAAAAAGATAAAAATCATCATGTATGTACTTTTAAAATGTTGAAAAAAATTAAAATGATAGTTCAATACAGAAAAATTACCTTAAGAAGAGCTTTGCCATCCTTATCTTTATCTTCTGGTTTTAAAACAATTCCTAATTTTTGTAGTAAGTTGTCTGCTTCATCTTTTTTATAATTCATTATACTATCAAATACCTGTTAATTTTGTTTTGATATTAATAAAAAAATTAATATCTGTTTGTTATAAATAGATGATGATCAACATACCTTATAAATTGGGTCTAAGACGTACATGCAGAAAGATCGTTTATTGTCTGTTTCCTTCTGCTTGCTCCACTTTTTAGTTTTGGGGTTGAAGAAAGATTCACCCCATAATCTATTCATGAGTTTTACAACATCAATTTTGAACTTCTCTGCATACATCTCAGAAAACTGCTTCAGAGTAAATGCCCAACCATGAAGGCCAGAACCAAATCCGACTGAACCTTTACTAGGATCTACCTATTTACAATAAATATAAATGTAATTAGTAAAGATATTAATAAATATAGTAATATTAATATAAAAGTGAAAAAATAATATTACACAGAAATAAATATTTACTTACTCTAACTTCACCCATGGGACCATCATCATCCGAATATGTTGCAATAATAACGTTAACGTTTTCAACAATACGCTGGAAAGTTTGATAAAGATCTTCACTGTCAAGTTGAAGTTCCAAAAGTGCCCTGTCCATCTTGTTCATAAACAAGACAGGTTTTATACGTTCAGCAATAGCTTGTCGAAGTACAGTTTCCGTTTGTACACAGACACCTTAAAAAATGATTTAAAAAAAAAAGTTATAATTTGTAAAAGTGCAAAAAAAAAAGAAAATAAAAATGTATTGTATGAAATTGTAGCAATTGTGTCGTAGCATGTTGGTCTCGAACATAAGAATAGAGGTCCACAAACAGCGTTTAAACACAGTTGCTATCATTTTAATCTCCTTCCATTATAATGCACCATTAACACTGTCCATGTGCATCAGTCAGTTAAACCAACTGATACACTACAGAGTAACGCTTTTTGTGCTGGAAGGAATATTAATTTAATCATATTATTTGAAGTATGTACCAGATACACAGTCAACAACCACAAGGGCTCCATCAGTTACACGAAGTGCAGCCGTTACTTCACTAGAGAAATCAACATGACCAGGTGAATCAATAAGATTAATCAAGAAACCTTTTTCATCTTTATCACGTTGATCAGGGTTTGTAATGAAAACTAAATCTTTCTCTTCAAGTGCAAAGTACATAGAAATAGCCCTGAAATAAAATTAAAAATATTACTTACAGTGAAGCAATTGAAAATATCAACTGATAAGATTAAATAGATTAAACTTACGTGGATTTAATAGTAATGCAGCGTTCCTGCTCGTCCTTGCGAGTATCTGTAAACCTGGTCTCACCAGCTTTAGCACCAGCAATAATACCGGCCTTAGACACAAGGGAGTCTGTCAAAGTTGACTTTCCATGATCAACATGCGCAATGACGGACATATTTCTGATGTTCTTCTTCTTGTCCATCATGGCACGTATCTCGTCCACCGTAAAATTCACCTGTAACAAATAAAAAATTTTATGAACACTAGATACGTACATCTAACACATAAACTTACGACATACCGATTGAAATTTTAAAAATATAAAATAACATTATTTTTTAACTCTGATATTAAATATATTACATTTTGAATATTCTCTCAATGTTCTAAAATATGGAATATAGAATTTTAAAAAATAATTTTTACTTTAGGTAAAGGTAAAATGATTTTCATACTGACCATATTGCAATCAAAGCTTCACAAATCTTGACAAATATGATCAATATTATTTAGAATAAAGAGAATTACATTCCCGTATAGGCACTTTTTGTATTAGAAAAGTTCTTAAAGTGTCACAACTTCCTCTTTTCTATATGCAGTGTGCGAGGTATTCAACGTGTTTCTCTGTACAATACTCGAGGATCATATTCCAATTCACCAGAAACTGTCGAGAACATTTCTTGAAGACTCACGATGTTCCGAGAACATGCTGCTAGATTCGTATCAAGAGTCTAAAGCTCCATGACACGTTGCCTCTTGGACAAGAGACGAACATATTTGAACTTCGAACATAGCGTAACTCTGAAGCTTTGTGTCGGAAAATTTTTCAGGAATATTTCGTCAGAATTTTTGCTGAACCTTCAGAGATTTTAACCCCGGCATATCCATCGCGAGCCTCAAAATTTATCTTCAAAGAGAGTTGCGCAATCCCAAGTAATCCGCCAGTTTTCAATTTTTCCGAACCCAGGTGACATTCGGTCTTTAAAAATATTCATACCTCTGCACTCCACACATCGTACAGATTTACACGTTCGTGATACTTTAGAAACATTATACATACCATTTTGGATGTTATCCGATTTCCGTTGTCCCGATCAGAAATATACGTGCACCAACAATGGCGGACTCCCTAGGAAAGAACAGGAGTTCTGTGAAAGGGACGAACGTTCCGTACACGATAGAGGGCACCCCTCGTCACGCGTATTTCGTGTTATGCACAGGGCCAATTGGAATTTTGTAATCCCTACCACGTGGCTTCATTTGCGCGCGCAGCTTACAATCCATTGTAAGTACATAAGTTTCAAATACAATTCATTCGTCTGTAGTGTATATCGTTACGCTTAGTGCTGCCATCTTAATAATTTAAATTAAAAATTGAAGCAAAAAGAATTGACAACGAAACGAATTTTCTTTCAACTCATTTTTTTTTCTTCGTTTGTGCAAAGAGTATTGAAATAAAATAATTTCATTGAATGTCAAACGAATTCTCGTATGAAGAAAGAAAAGGAGAGGAGAGAAGAAAAAGGAAAAATAGTTCAAAGGGTATCTTACGTTAGATATGAATATATACATTTATCACGGACTATTAGTTTTTATTTTCTCGTAGATCATATGTACCCATATAAAATACTACACTAATTTAACAGTGAAAATTATACAATCTATTATATCGTATGTAGACAAGTGTAGAAAAACATATTAATTACACACGTACTAATTACATACATACGAAGAAATATAACGATTGTGCGTTCTCTTGTAAAATAATTATTGTTAGAAATACATCAATGCCGGTGCAGTGTATGTCACATTGGTATACTTATATGTATACAATACAATATTTACTAAATACATACATGTTGATGTATGCTAAATTTAAAAATTATATATGCATATAAAATCTTAGTGCCAAATCAATTGAAATAACAGAATCGATCTTAATTACTTCCCAGTGTATGTACTTGTGCATTTGTCTTCCACGATATATTAAATTATTACTATTTTTTTGAATAAAGAAAACTTTTATTTACAACTGTTAAGGCAACGGTACATACTACAGGGTGGCCACTGAAATACTGAATGATATTAAACGAAAATAACTTTTACAAATATATGTTTTTTTTTAATTTTTTATTATTTTACTTGGAAATATAATTAATGGATTTTATAATTTTATAACCTACAAAAAAATATTGAAAACAAACTAGTTATGACTTTTTCAAACCCTTCAGTTTTTCAGTGGCCACCCTGTACTTTTAACATGTTCCAGACAAAGCGTGTCAAATTAGGAATTTTTCGCATTCCTCAGGTATAGACCACTCGGAGGATTTACAATCTCCCACAAATCTCGAAAAAAAGTTTTCCCGCACTCGAAATTCTAGTGATAAACGTATCAGAAGTATCGTGTAAGTAACAGGATGATTTTCAGAAAGTGATGGGATCGTTTCCTAGACCTACTACTCCACGCGAGTCGTAACGAGAAATTCTGGAGACCTCTCCCATAGTTTCTGAAACTCCTCAGAGTCCTTTGGAAAAGGCAAAAGATCTTTTTATATATAAAAAGACTCTGAGAAGATGATAAGTTTAGTAATTAAATTTTAAAAATTTATTCATTACATTTTAGTTTAGAAAAAATTCAAGTTCATTGACTTATCATTCAAGGACATCAATTTCAGTCAAGTCCAAATGGTCACTTAGTTCTTAGTCAATATTCAGCTAATTGTAAGTAAATCCTTCGAGCACGTTGGTAGCTTAGTTATTCAGACAGAACGAGCTGTCTGAATCGGGCACAAGCGACCAGATTTCTTGCGTAATGAAATCAGTATTAATCCAAGTCGAAGTTATTCATTGCCCACATAAAAAAGGCACGCAACCGACACTAGTTGTCTATGTCTTTAACAGTTTAAAATAATTAGAAGGTCACGTATTTACAACTTCATTAATTGACAAAAATATTCCAAAATTCTGTTTAATTAAATATCAATAAAATTGAATCGTAGTCGTAAATCTCCTAATTATTTTGTTTACTCTGCGTACGTTTAACGAATCCCTTTGCAGCTTCGCTCGTGAACGCTCACACGGTCAGGATTGAAAGTCCTTCCACAGTGTTTACACGGGACCAATTGACTCAAGTGAGATTTCCAACTAGCCTCAGCCATTGCGGCCAAGTCAATTGTCATATCTCCTGTTTCTGAATCACCTGGACACAAATTGCCATTGTAAATTAAAAAGTAATATGCTACGACGAATTATTGCATTCGTTCTTCGTACGTATATTTAAAAGCGACATAAATTTGCAGATCAATCCTTCACCTTGTGCAGTGAACCAACAGCAGTAAGGATTATTTGTTGTACTTGATAAAGCTCGACTTTCGGTCACGACTTCCGGTCCCCAACCGTGCTCCCCACTAATCGATATATGTACTCACACTGACCTTAAGTTCACTGGTAAAACGCGGGATCATGCAACTGATATTTAATTCTCTCGCAAGCGTTTGACTACCATAAAAATCATTACTGTGAAAGTGAAAAAAAAAAAAATAAGTCCGTGGCCCCTGTGCCTCCGAATAAAAGGCGTTTAAGTAGATCGATCACGAGGGTTGTTCAACTCTTGACATCAATTAAACGGAAGTGCAGTTTTTGCGCTGATTGAAGTGATTGCGTTTTGAAAAACAAACGTAATGGCATGCAAGGGAATTGACTCACGAGTGTAGGTAATTTCAGGTCTCTCTGGCTCCTTCCTCCTTTGACCTAGCGGCAATTTTTGATTCTCCACATGCCATTTTTTCAAGCATTGTGGCTCGTGAATGGCTATACTAGTGGATCCGAAATCTTTGCCACATATGTAGCATGTGATCGTCTTCTTTTGTGTATTATCCTAAAATCAATTTTCTTCAAGTGACTGTCTTGCTGATTAAATCTATCAACTAATAACACTCAAATGATAAAACGATACACTTTTTATTCACAACAAACGACAAAAAATTTGTACATGAAATTTAAAACTCGTGTAACAGGATATCTTATGGATGATCGCATGGGAACGTTTATGCAAACTGGATGATATAAGCATGCCTTCCGACACGACTCACCCCCGTTGGGCTGCTTAGATTCTCTTGCACGATCATTATTTCTGATCTCTGTTGTCGGATCGTATCCTTTTTTCGTGACTGTGCTGCCCGTTTATTCTTTTCTACTTGCATTCGCTTTATACATTGAGGCTCGTGTATTTTTATACTCTTCGTGCCGAAGTTTTTGCCACATGATTGACAAGTAACCATAGGAGGCCCTGCTCGTGACGTGTTGGGAGACTTTTCACTAAGCAAACTTTCTATTTTCTCTGGTTCGATATTCTACAGATTAAAGAATTACGTAAATAATAGCGAATAAGTAAGCAGTACAGTGAATTGCATGTAATTCTATAAAAAATATATGTAACAAAACATTCTATGCTGAATGATCATTTTCACCTTTATAGAAGCTTTACAGCTTCTCTGATGGACTGTTAATCGTTCCGGAAGAAACGTTCTTCCACATTTCGAGCAAGGAGTCAATTGTGCCTGAAATACAATTTGCCTTCGTCATTCATTACCTTGCCTTGCGCTTCCACTTACGCTTCACAATTTCATGGATTAACATTCCAGACGACACGAGAATTTTCAATAGAGAGAAAGTTCTTCGTGAAATCTTGAACTTAATGAGTCGCAATGCGGGTCTCAGTTTTTAGATCAAACATGCCGTTGCTCTTAAACAACCTAGGCTGTGTGATAAATGTAGGGCAACACCTTGAACACGATAGGGCTGGGATATTACAGTGCGTGACATACTCTCTATGTGAAACCAGAGACATTACACACGGATTCCATTGAATGCATCGGTATTTGTGTTTCTACATATGCATAAAGAACGTGCAAGGGTGAGACTTAATGTCATTTTACTATTACGTTTATCACGATCGATTTAACCACTGGGGAGCATGTTTCCCCATGAAAATATTTGCATACTTTGAATTAACATGAAATTTGCCATTTTTCGTCTATTTCATACCTTACATTAGAAGGTATGAAAATTTTTAAAAATGATGCTCGAATACATGAAATAAAAAGTAAGGGATAAAAATTTGGAATATAGACAAGCAGATGTAAAATACATAATGAATAAAACATTTTGATATTATGCATTTTTGATCATCCATGACTTTTGTTCTTCATTGGTTATGACCACATTACAAGAAGTCATGCAATAACATTACATCATCGTCTGGAAGAGAGCGTCGAGGAGACCGATCGTCAGTTGTGACGAACGTAGTAGTAGAGTGAGTCATTGTCACTTATTATTATTAGACAAATACGAAAGCATTTAACAGAAACATTCATGCAGCTTGAACTTTTTTGATGATTGA